TCAGTGAATACCCCCCGTCCTTCCCCCTGCCCCCAGTTTTTATTGCTGAGCCCGAAGTCATATGGTGTGGAGTATCCCTTTGGTCAGCTGGGGCCCTGCTTGTGTCCCTTCCCAAGTCCTTGTGCACCCCCAGCCTGCTCGCTGCTGGGGCAGGGTGAGAAACAGAAAAGGCTTTGATGCTGTGTAAGCACTGTTGAGAAAGGCGTAAACCATCAGTGTATTCTCAACACTGTTTTGGTCACAAATCTAAAACAGCACCGTATGAGCTATTATGAAGAAAATTAACTCTATCCCAGCCAAAATCAGTACACTCTCCAAACCCATCACCTCGCCAGGCAGGCAGCTATTTCCAGCGCATCCCTTGGCTGCCTGTTTATCTGTCCATCTATCCACATACGTCTTCATCGTCTACCATACCTGTTCATACATCTTTATCTTCTATCCCTATTTCTTCCCCACTGCGCTGTCTTTTCTCAGTGTTTTCCCCAGCCCGGGTGCCTCTTGCTGCAACACAGGGACACTGCGGGGATGCGACTGCTGACATTCGGAGGAGGGAGTGGACGTTTCTATAGAGAGCAACATCCAGTGTTCCAACAGCATATTTCAGACAGGATTTAAAAGCCCTGAAAGCAAGCTTTATAAAGTGTTGGGTTTTTTTCATGGGATCTTTCACAAAACACAGATTATGCCCCATCTGCTGATGGGATGATGTTTTGCTCCTGTCTCTGAAGTGGCTGGTGCTGAGCACACTTGGAGATGGCGAACGAGTTCCTCTGGTCCTTACTCACTGAGAGCCTGACAGATGGTGCTATGAAGCACGACCCAGCAAGGATTACGCTCTTTCTACGGGCTCCATGTTCATCCTCCTGGGCAGAAGCTGAGCATCCACCGGAGACAGAGCGCCCACTCCTCCCCCATGGCACAGCGCCCAGCAGGGCTGTGGAAATTCATCCTTTCCCTGTGTGCAGACGCATCGCTTACGTGTCTCGACAAGGATGAAAATAAAAGGAAGATGGAAGGAGCAGGGGAGGAACATTCCTTCTTCATCCCCACTGCGGGGCAATCAGGGTGAACAGCGTCATGGCGGGGCACTGGGGTTGCAGGACGCCCAGCCTCTGGGGTAGCCCCATGGGTGGAGGACGGGACTTTTCCCACTTCGGTGACTATTCACCCAGTCCGGAACAGTCAATGATGCACAGAGTGAACAAAGCAATCTTTCTGTTGTTGTGGGACAGCCGAAGCACACATACAGACGATGAGGATGAGGTACGCGTTCGAGTCCGTACACCCAGATTCAAATACTTCGATCTATATTTTCATGTTGAAGATAATTGGAGCACTCTGGAAAGCTGTCTGCTAATTTAACTTATCAAGCTAATTATTTAGCTGGCGAAGTAAAGAGTTGAGGCACAGATGTCTGGAGCTTTGTCTGAGAAGTGGGGCAGTTGGAAATAGACTAATTCCATTTTTCATGGCACACTAATGAGTTTAGCCACATGCCCTCCAATTAAAGAATGCCATGTTCCCTGTTTACATAGACAGATGGAGCGTGAATTCCTTAAGTGCTGAGGGCTGGAAAAGTTTAACTTCTTCCCCATCAGCCACTGCAGCCCCTGAAAAGAGCAGCAGACAAGCCAGGCAAATAATTAGCATAGGTTAGAGGAGTGTTTTATAACTTTTTATTTATTTATTTATTTACAACCCCAAAAGATACCGTCCCTGAATTCAAAGTTTAAGCCCTTTAAGCACAGCTTTTCTTTTATGATTTGTATTTCGCATAGCACTGTATTTCCCTGAGGTATCTGTGGGCTGAGAATTGGAAGCCCGTGGCTGACAGTTCTGTAGAAGAAACAAGAGCTGGGTTTGTGTACACATTGCTTAATTTTACCCATAACTGTTAGCTGTAATAACAACATTCCTGC